GAAGTGATTGATGGTTTGTAAGGAATTACTTGACTTTTGCTTGTAACAGAAGCTTTTTGGATTCTCCCAAAGTTCTTGTCAAAGGCAAGAAATGTCTTTTGAAATAGCAGCTTTCCCCTTCCCTGCAGATAGAACAAACCTGCATAAAAAGTGCTGCAGATTTAAAATACGCAGGGAAGAAAGGAAGGCATTGTTTGACACACTGCCTTTTTTCTAATACTCTGCTGCTCTGGGAGATTTGTCTCTGTTATTCTGTTACCTGCCCTCTTCATACAGCGTGAGCAATTCACCTCTCTGCAGGAAGAGTTCCACAAACCCAGCAGCAGGATTTCACCAATTCAGTAAGATGCGTATCACCGCAGAGACAAATCCTTCTCACTCTCTGTCTCCTCCGGCTCCAAGGTCAGAGCTGTACGAACTGGACCAAAGCAGCCCTCTCCCGAGTCCCACGGGACATTCCCGGCTCTCACCGGGGCAGCTCCATCTGCGTCCCACAACTGCCTCCTCTGCCATGGGCGAGAGCATCTGCTCTGCAGCCAGAGCACTGGTGGAGCAGAGGCATTACGAGGGGCAGAGTTTGGCGTTTCCTTCCATCGCATACACAAGTAAGCAATGGATCTGAGCTCGGTATCCCCTCTTTGGGAGGCAAACTGGTGATCCAGCAGGTGGAATGAATTCATACAATCCCAGTCACACACACTTTTGTTAGAAAGACATCGCAGCAATAAATCCCAGTCCCAAGCGCTTCTGCCAGCAGCAAAGCTGATGCTCTCTGTCCCACACCTCATTGTAACAGAGCACTGCTCACCGGCGAGCCTCAAGGACCACACAAAGGGTAGCATGCACCAGTTCGCCCTACCTCAAGAAAGAGACGAGAAAAACTTCTCTGCCAGCTCTTGAAACCCTAGTCCTATCCACCGAGCACTCGAACAAAAGCTGAAGTGAGAGACTACACCTGGAACCAAAATAAATCACTCCCCGCTCACGGGTTTGACAGCCGCTGCTCAAAAAAGGGGACTTCATCAATATGAGCATTCAGAGCAGCGGTACAAAAAAAAAAAAAATACAAAAACCCCAAAACAGGAATTATCAACTGTACTTCCCCCCGCTGTGGAGGAAGGGACGGGGGCTTCGGTCTCGCCAGCCACGGAAGGCTCTGTCAAGCTATCGGATCTTCATCTTACGGACCAGCAGCTGTAACCAACGCTTCGCAGGTCTCCGAGCGTGTGCCGGGCGGTGTTCTCTCACTGCGAAGTCCCGCAGTGGCTCCTTAGCGTTGCCTCAGAAAAACGTGTGGAACGAAAAACAATTCGTAGTGCAAAGTCTTTGCGGACGGACAAAAATAAAACTCTCCACAATATCTCGTTTTCTTTTGTTTTGGTTTGTCGTTTGTTTGTTCGTTTTAGCTGGCGAGTGTATTTTTAATATAAGCAATCAAAAACACTGAGGGGATGTGTGACATGAAGACCGCGCTGGCAAAATTCGTTTGCAAACTCGCCAGCGCGTTTCTTTGAGGAGAACACGACCG